ACTGACCCTCCGACAGTGCAGCACTCCCTCAACACTGACCCTCCGACAGTGCGGCGCTACCTCAGCACTGACTCTCCGACAGTGCGGCGCTCCCTCAGCACTGACCCTCCGACAGTGCGGCGCTCCCTCAGCACTGACCCTCCGACAGTGCGGCGCTCCCTCAGCACTGACTCTCCGACAGTGCGGCGCTCCCTCAGCACTGACCCTCCAACAATACAACTCTCCTTCAGTACTGACCTTCTGACGCTGAAGTGCTGTGGGCCATCAACAGCAGCAGAATTGTACTCCAGCACCAGCTGTAACCTCATGGCCCGGCATATCCCCCACTCAACCATTACCATCAAACCAGGGGATCAACCCTGGTTCAATGGACAGTGCAGGAGGGCATGCCAGGAGCAGCACCAGGGATACCTGAAGATGAGGTGTCAACCTGGTGAAGCCACCAAACAGGACTACTTGCACACCAAACAGCGAAAGCAGCAAGGGATAGACAGAGCTAAGCGATCCCACAACCAACAGATCAGATCTAAGCTCTGCAGTCCTGCCACATCCAGTCTTGAATGGTGGTGGACAATTAAACAACTGGCTGGAGGAGGAGGTGGCTTCACCCTCCTGGGGCAATTAGGGATGGGCAATAAACGGTATCTTAATCAGCGATGGCTACATTCCATAAACAAATGAAGCAGTGGTGAGAATGTAGAAATATGAACCCAGGGAATGGTTGAGGTGGCCAGTAATAATTGAGGAGGAAATAGGAGGAGGATCACGTGGGAGATAAAAAGCAGCATGGAGCAGATAGTCAGAATGGCCTGTTGTGGATTGTAAATCCTGCATCATTCTGTGAATCTCAGAGATTTTAAACATTTTGGAGATTATCTTCTGTTCTTAGTATTTCAATCACAGGATTAAACATAAGGTCATGAGGCTGGGGCTGGGAATTTATTGTCAGTTGTGGATAAAACACTGAGCTCAGCACAGAATCTACGCAAGAAAGTCCCAGACAACACGTAGGGACGTCCATGAAACAGACTGACTGTATTACGCAAGGAAACCCACAGACCAAATAGACCTATACACTGACACACACAAACTGATACATGCACAAATTTAAAAAAAGAAATATGTTTCCTTTTCTCCTAGTTACTGGATGGAGGCAACAGCTTACAGTGATTGATGGGAGAAACAACTACCTTCCTTTAGACTTCAGATATTTTTACTACAGAGAGAGAGAGAGAGAGAGACAGAGCCCACAATCTAATTTTTTTTATCAGTCTGAAGAATTCTCCCCATATCATTTACACCCACGAGCTGTTTAGCTGCCAGGAACCAATCAGAGAGCTGTCCCCAGGCTGATAATTTGTGGCTGGTCTCAATTCCACAAACCAATCAGCTGCCAGGCCATTTACAAAGAGTTTCCCCCTTATGCTCACTCCCTCATTTACTCTCTCTCTCACACACACTCTTTCACTCACTCTCAATTACTCTCTCACTCACTCTCTCTCACCCACTCTCTCTCACTCAGTCTCTCACTCTCTCACTTATTCTCACTCAGTCTCTCACTCACTCTCATTTACTCTCACACACTCTCACACACTCTCAATCTCTCTCTATCTCTCTCTCTCACTCTCTCTCTCTCTCACTCTCTCTCACTCACTCTCTCTCTCACTCTCTCTCACACTCTCTCTCACCCACTCTCACCCACTCTCACCCACTCTCTCTCACTCAGTCTCTCACTCAGTCTCTCTCTCTCTCTCACTCTCTCTCACACAGTATCTGTGAGGATCTGTTCAGTACTAAATAAAAACCGAAAGAACTGCGGATGCTGTAAATCAGGAACAAAAACAAAGTTGCTGGTAAAGTTCAGCAGCTCTGACAGCATCTGTGAAGGAAAAAACAGAGTTAACGTTTTGTGTCCGGTGACCCTTCCTCAGAATTACTGTCATGTGTAGCTTATTGTGACTCCTAGATCCAGTATTTTCCCTCATTTTCATCTTCTCCTGTTTTATCTTTCTCTCCACTTTGCATTCACACTTTCTGTCTTCATGTTTTTATTTAATCTCTGGCAGAATTTAAAATAACAATTATGATAAAATGGCCAACTCCCATTCCCCAATCTATGTTTGTAAGTCCTAAAGTTCAATCTCATTTAATTATTAGTAACAGATTGATGATAATCCAAAAGTTGTGATTCTGGCTGACAGGGACAGTACTGCTGCTGGGAAAGAGAGATTGTGAGACATGGGGGATTAGGCTGCAAACGTTATCGCAGAAGGATGGTGTCTGTGCTGGCTTGCAGAAGGAGCACCTCACTATCCCCACCCCTGCAGCCTCCTCCTGGACCCCTGTACAATCTTCCTTTTCAGATAATCCAGTTCCACCATGAAAGCTCCACCACACTCTCAGGCAGCACAATTCAGACCCAAACCACCCGCTATGTTTAAATGTTTTTTCTTCATACCACCATGGCTTCTTTTGCCAATTACCTCAAATCCATGTGCTCTAATTCTCAATCCTTCCACCATTCGAATTAGTTTCTCTCCATCTCCTCTGTCCAGTCCCATCATGGGTTTGAGCATCTCCATTAAATCTCCTCCCCGCTTCTCCAGGGAAACCAGTCCGAACTTCTCCAATCTACCCACATCATTGACATTCCTCATTCCTGGAATCAGGTTCTTGTGGACATTTTCTGCACCTTCTTTAATTCTTTCGCAAAATTCCCAAAATGTGGTGCCCAGACTGGACACTGTACTCCAGCTGAGGCCAAATAGTGTTTTACTCAATTCAACATCACCCCCTTGATGTTGTACTCTACGACACTATTGACAAGACCAGAAACTGAACTGGACTAGCCATATTAATATTGTGGCTTAGACAATAGCTCAGAGGCGAGGAATACTGTGGTAACTCACTCCCTGACTCCCCAAAGCCTGTTCACCATCTGCAAGGCACAAGAGTGTGATGGAATATTCCCCACTTGCCTGGATGAGTGCAAACCCCAACAACACTCAAGAAGCTTGACACCATCCAGGCCAAAGCAGCCCGCTTGATTGGCACTGCATCCACAGCATCCACTTTCTCCACCACCGCAGTCGCAGCAGTGTGTACCATCTGCAAGATGTGTTGCAGTAATTCATTAAAGATCATTAGACAACACCTTCCAAGCCCATAACCAGTTCCAAGTAGGCAGCAGATAGGTGGGAACACCACCACCTGCAAGTTCCCCTCCAAGCCACTCACCATCTTGACTTGGAAATGTATCATCATTCCTTTAGTGTCACTGGGTCAAAATCCTGGAATTCCCTCCCTAAGGGACATTGTGGGTCTACCTACAGCACATGGACTGCAGTGGTTCAAGAAGGCAGCTCACCCGCACCTTCTCAAGGGGCAACTAGGGACGGGCAATATATGCTAGCCCAGTTAGTGAAACCATCCCATAAACGTAAAATAATGCTCCCTGAGTTTGCAGATGACATCAAAATAGGTGGTGTAGTGGACAGTGAAGGAGATTATCTCAGAGTACAATGGCATCTTGATCAGATGAGCCAATAGGCTGAAGAATGTCAGATGGAGTTTAATTCAGATAAATGTGAGCTGTTGCATTTTGGTAACAAAAGTCAGGGCAGGATTGATACAGTTAATGGTAGGGCCCTGGGGAGAGTTGCCAAACTAGGGGTGCAGGTGTATAGTTCCCTGGAAATGGAGTTGCAGGTAGACAGGGTGGTGAAGAAGGTGTTTGGTATACTTGCCTTTATTGGTCAGAATATTGAGTATAGAAATTGGGAGGTCATGTTGCGTCTGTACAGGACATTAGTGAGGCCACTTTTAGAATACTGAGTACAATTCTGGTCTCCCTGCTATAGGAAAGATGTTAAACTTGAGAGGTGCAGAAAAGATTTACAAGGATGTTGCAGGGACTGGAAAGTCTGAGTTACAGGGAGAGGCTGAATACCCTTGGTCTTTTTTCCCTGGAGCTGAGGGTTGACCTTATAGAGGTTTATAAAATCATGAGGGGCATGGATAGGGTAAGTAGCCAAGGTCTTTTCCCCCGGGTAGGGGAGTCTAAATCTAGAGGTAATAGGTTTAAGGTGAGAGGGGAAGAATTTAGAGGTAATGTTTTCATGTAGAGAGTGGTGTGTAATTGAAACGAGCTGCCAGGGAAATGGTGGAGGCTGGTACAGTTACATCATTTAAAAGGCACCTGGTTGGGCATATGAATAGGAAGGGTTTAGTGGGGTATATGCCAAATGCTGGCGAATGGGAGTAGGTCAGATTGGGATGACTGGTCGGCATGGATGAGTTGGACCGAAGGGTCTGTTTCCGTGCTGTATGACTCTATGACTCTGAATCTTTGACTGATACATTCACCGGACCCCTGTCCTGCAAGCCCTTTTTACAGTTTTGCCCTTTAATTTTCATTGTCTCACTGTATTCTTCCTACCAGAATGAATTATTTCACACTTGTCTGTATTAAATTTAATTTGCACTTGTCCATCCATTCTATTCACCTATCTGTATCCTCATGTAGTTCTGTACTATCATCCATCACAGTTCATAATGTTTCCAAATTTTATAATAGCTGCAGTTTATAAAATAGAGCCCTGCACACCAGGGTCTAGAATATTAATAGATAACATTACATATAATAAATAATTGGAAGGGCAAGTCTCCGAACACTAATCCTTGGAGAACTTTTAAAAAATTCTGTTTCTCAAAATGAGTCAAGTTGGATGCAGTGAGTTGTCTCTGAGGGTCACTTTGTCTGACTGTCGATATGTGGGGGACAGTTGCTGCTCTAGTCTTTCTGGGGTGTGCAGAGTTCTGACACATGCAGTTTCCCTGATTCGGAGTCTCTAGAACATGAGGCAGGAAGGCAACTGTTTCACAGCACACCGTGACGGTCATAAAACCCAACAGAATATCAGTCCCGTTCCAGTTTAATATTCTGTTCAATAGTTACAGAAAACAAACTATGTGATTTTGGGGAAATGATTAAAGATGATTAATACAAGGATTGGTACTGTATTTTTAAAGTTTCTTGAACTGTCTTGCTGTGTGCCTCTAGCGTTGTGCTTGTCTCAGTGGGTATTATTGGATGTGACGTGTGTGTATATAAAGCTGGCTGAGCCCCTGAGTGGATCTTTTAGTCGATGGATGGCAGGAACATCGAGAGATATTTACAAACCTGGGGCTCGGTCTGATTGAGCAGATTTAACTGCTTCCTGGAGCTACATTAATGGCATGTTGTACCAAGGCCTGTTTGAGGATTTATAAGTGAATATTCTAGGGGGGGCCAGCTGGGAATTCATAGGCAATGGATGTATGGAGCAGCGAAGACAACGGGAATAGTGTGGCGGACTGGGAAAGTGTCAGCGATGCTATTCAACATGACACTGTGGAAGGTACAAAGTGGGCCACGGGGGTGTTCAGTCACTGTCTCTTTGTTGGCCTTCCTCAGGGAAGCCATTTCCCTGCCTCTTATTGAATCTACAACAATTTGGGAACTTAGTGCGAGAAGTGAATTGTCAATATGAAGCACACTCCAGGCCAACTCCGAACCTCTGTTATTTTTTCATCAATGAACGTTTCCCTGAAATTCCCAGTTTAGGTGGGGGCGGGGGTTGTGATTGAAGATTGACGACAGTTTACTGGGTTCAAGGGGCCATTGCAACGGTCAGAGACTTGTCTTCAGTTTATTAACGGGTCTGGGTTGGAGGGGGAGGTGGAAGGATAAGGGGGCTGGTTGTGGAAGTGAGAGGAAATGGGGCAGGTTGCAAGACATGAGGCAGAGAGTGTGAGCCAGGGGCTGGGAGAGAAAGGAAGGGATACGGTGTGAGGGAGAATGTTGTTTTGTAGGTACTGTGATTTCAGTTGTATTCCCTGCTGTTCTTACGATCCTAGTCTGCATCTCAGCTATTTGTAATGAACAGGATGTTAATGAGCTATGCAGTGAGGGATTCTCACAGGAAACATCGATCTGAATAAGATTCAGGCAAACGATTTCTAACTGAAACCAACAAACTGTCTTCTGGGAGTGGTTCACGTCAATAGTATTGACACATTGAGGGGTGAAACTGGATAAACACAGAAAGGAGTGGAAGGAAATACTGATAGAGCGAGATGAATGACTCATGTGGAGACTATACACCAGCATGGCTCTGTCGGGCCGAATAGCCTGTTTTGAGTTTAGTTTGTGATTCTGTGTGAAATATTCCAAAGGTTTCGAACAGTTCTGATTTTCCCTATCATAACCACCACCCCCACCACCTCAATCACTACTTTCTTTGCACCTTCGTTTATTTCTCTCGGAGTCATAGAGTCATGTAGCATGGAATCAAACCCTTCGCCCAACTTGTCTATGCTGACCAGGTTTCCTAAACTAGAACTAGTCCTACTTGACTGTGTTTGGCCTATATCCCTCTAAACTTCTCGTATTGATATATCTCTCCAAATGGCTTTTAAATGTTGTAATTGTACCTGCTTTCTACCACTTCCTCTGGCAGTTCATTCCACATCTGAGCCATACTTGTGTGAAGACCATTGTCCCAATTGATCAGGATAACCTTCTTCACTACCATTTCCTGGCCTCTTCACCAAAGAGCCCCTGACCCTCATTGAGAGAGTGGTCAGTGTTCGGTGCTTTATCCACGATCCATGTGGGTAATCACAGTAAAACCTGAGCTTGCCCTATGCCCACAATCAAACAGATCCCATCATTCACCCCCTCACTCACAGGATGTGGGTGTCACTGGTTGGGTACAGCATTTATGGCCCATCCCTAGTTGCCCCCTTGAGAAGGTGGTGGTGAGCTGCCTTCTTGAACCACTGCAATCCATGTGCTGTGGATAGACCCACAATGCCCTTAGGGAGGGAATTCCATGATTTTGACCCAATGACATTGAAGCGATATTATTGAGGAGGACTTTATCATGTTCTATATCATGTTCTATATCAAGTTCAAATTCAACGTCTAGATTAATCCTGTGTCTTCTAACCAGCCACTTTTTTTTATTCTACTTTATTTCTCATCAGTAGTACCTTGTTTGAGGTGGAAATTCTGTCTGTTTCTTCCCGCATCCCCTTTTTATTGTTTCAGAAACATTGCAGTTGGCTGTGGTCCCTTCGCTGTGATGTGGCTGAGACCAGATTCAGAGATTAGCTCAGCCTGTTGCTAATAATTGGGGATCAGATGTGCCTCTGAGGAGTTAATGTGAAAACGTGGGGCAGAGTGAGGTGGTGAGGCAGCAAGGGGTTCGGGAATCGATGAGTTAAATCTGAGCTGTCAGTGCTGATTTTGCAAATCACCAGCAGACGCTCTGTGTGCAAATAAAGCCCAATTAATGGTACAAAGCGGTGACCTTGCGGGGAGAGCAAGGAGGCTGTTGTCTGTACTGCCAGGATATCCTGAGTGCACTAAACGTGTGGCTGCACACGTACGCTCAGAGCCCGGCCTGGAGTGGGGAGCAGCCCCTGAACTCTCTCAGTGTGTCAGCACAGCTCCCAATGGTGCTGACACTCTGTCCACTTTCCCTGCGCCTCCTGAGACCATAAACCCTCGCGGATAGAGAATTCCTCCTTAACTCCGTCCTTACCCCAAGACGGTGCCCCCGTGTTCTAGATTCTAGTTTTGTGTGAATCAAAGAGATCAGTCCTCATTCTTCTAAATGCCAGAAATTATTGGGCTCGGTTTTACTCAGCCTCTTATGATCAGTTAGCACCCTGAACCCCAGACCAGCTTGGTGAGCCCTGGTTACACCAGCTCCAAAAGCAGTCCTGTTCCTCAGGTACGGACACTACATGCACTTCACATCCAATAATACCCACTGAGACAAGCACAACACGAGAGGCACACAGCAAAACAGTTCAAGAAACTTTAAAAATACAATACCAATCCTTGTATTAATCATTTCCCCCAGATCGCAAAGTTTGTTTTCTGTAACTATTGAACAGGATATTAAGGGGCACTGGACCCGAAATGTTAACTCTGATTTGTTTCTTCACAGATGCTGCCAGACCTGCTGAGCTTTTCCAGCAACTTTGTTTTTGTTCGGGAATATTATACTAGAATGGGACTGATATTCTGAGATAACAGATTTCTTCTGAAGAAGGGTCTAGGCCTGAAACGTCAGCTTTCCTGCTCCTCTGATGCTGCTTGGCTTGCTGTGTTCATCCAGCTCTGCACCTTGATATCTCAGATTCTCCAGCATCTGCAGTTCCTACTATCTCGGGACTGATATTCTGTTGGGTTTTATGACGGTCACGGTGTGCTGTGAAACAGTTGCCTTCCTGCCTCATGTTCTAGAGACTCCGAATCAGGGAGTGTGTCAGAACTCTGCACACCCCAGAAAGACTAGGGCAGCAACTGTCCCCCACATATCGACAGTCAGACAAAGTGACCCTCAGAACCAGACACTGAGATGGCTCCTGGAGTCTCTGATCATTGTGAAGAGGGGCTAGGATGTTTGCTTGGCCCTGGATTGTGGGTCGGTGCCAGTGAGAGGTGTTTGAGAGTGAGGAAATGATGAGGTGGGGGTGGCGTGGGGGGGCAGAGCGGATTTCTAAGCAGCTCAACAACATTCCACAGTCTCTGAGGGGAACAAGTGTTGCAGTCGGGAGAGAATAGGAGCAGGGCAGCGCGGAATGTCAGTGAAGGGAGCTGGGGACTGCATTAAACACTGATCTGACTCCCTGTTTCCACAGTTCTCTGTGCGGAGAGGGTGGGCCAGGTGACAAAGACATACCGAGATATCGAGGCTGTCACCCACTTACTGGAGGAGGTGAGTCAGTGACACATCCCTGAATAAAAACAACTCCATTATTCTCACTGGAAGGAGAGTCAGGGATTGGAGAGCAGAGGTTTCACATCGACAGCAACATATTCCAGAACTAAACGGGACTGAATTTCACTCAGTCAGCTGCTGTGAACTGGTATGTGAAGCCACAGAGAGTGGTGGAGCCCAGTTCCATAATAACATTCACACGGAATTTGTTAAATGCATAAAAGGGGAAATGTGAAGGGCACTGACGGGAGAGCTAGGGTGGGGTAGGGGGAATTGGCTACTTCCTTCACAGAGCTAGCACAGACAGGAGGAGCCGCATGGCCTCATTCTGTAAGGTCCGACTCTCTGATGCTATTGATCTGTGAGGAATCTGATTGTAGCAACATCTGAGATGGGCCTGAGGACCGCCAGGCCTGGTCCGATGGGAGGTGGGGATGGGGGCGCAAAGCTGAATTAAAAGATGATGATTTTTGAACATTTGAGGAATTGAAATGTTGGAAAGAGTAGAGATCCTGATTGTAGGCGGAGTGTTGGGGTTGTTCTGTGGCTACGGTTTCTGACCCTAACCCAGTGACACTGTGTGATTGCAGAAAGAGCGGGATCTGGAGCTCGCCGCTCGGATTGGACAATCCCTGCTTAAACAGAACCGCATCCTGACAGAGAGTAATGAAAACCTGGAACAACAACTCCAACAGCTCACTGAGGAGGTAGGACTGAGGGTGAGGAGGGAGAGTGAGGGGGGTGATGAGCAGTGCTGTGGTTAGTGTCTGTCAGCATGACAGTCATCACCAGCAGGGAAATGTTGCTGGTCTGTCTCTCTCCCTCATTAAAAAGCTGTTGCCCAGTATTACCACTGTGTCCTGCCCCCCTTCACAGGGACGATACTGTCACCCACTCTGTAACACAGGACATCACATTCAGACTGACCGCTCAGTGCTGCCCTGAGTCCATGCACTACTGTCACTGGAACTGAGCTGGGCTGGGGATGTCCTTTCACTGTGGGTGTTATACATTTATAAAGGTGTCCTGGAAAGTATTAACATCACTGGGAGCAGATTATTGAAGAAATTCATATTAAAAGAAAATACTATAGATGCTGGAAATCGGAAACAAAAACAGAAATTGCCGGAGAAGCGCAGCAGGTCTAACAGAATCTGTAGAGAGAAGAAAGTACATGTTTGACTGCTTTCCAAACACCGCTATCTCTAAAACAAATTACTTTGCAATGTTCACATGTCACATGCAATAACTCCCTCAGTGATGTGGAGCCCATGCCCCAATTACATTCTAATCTGTGAATGAGTTGTATTCTCTGTCACAAACTAATTCCAAACCATCTCTCAAGACTTAACCATAGAATCTATGATGATACATCTGGTGCATTACTCAAGGAGTGCCGCACTGTCACAGGGTCAGCGCTGAGGGAGTGCCGCACTGTCACAGGGTCAGCGCTGAGGGAGTGCCGCACTGTCGGAGGGTCAGTGCTGAGGGAGTGCCGCACTGTCGGAGGGTCAGTGCTGAGGGAGTGCCGCACTGTCAGAGGGTCAGTGCTGAGGGAGTGC